TGGACGTCTTTTTTCGGTAAATTGATGTGAAAAATCCATTAGCATTACGGTTAACGAGCATGTCTAAAAAAAATGTAAATTGTTATTATTTTCAACGTCACATGTAAATTTAATGGCAGGGTGTTGTGAGTTAAAGTATTCTACAAATTTTGAGCATTGATCACTGTTATTAAAAAGAATGAAAGTGTCATCCACACACCTTCTGTATAGGACAGGCCTAAAGTTAACATAGATAAGTATATTTTTATCTATGTATTTGAAAGTGAATATATGAAAATGAAAACTATTTGTACGAGGACAGGACAAATCTTATACACAACTTTTGGTGAGGTAATAATGAATACTGTAATAATCTGTTATGTTACAGATATATTGTGTAAAAGTTAGGATTTCTGTGGTATTTATCATAGCATCCACCATAAGTTATTTTAAAAGTTCATAATCAGTTAATAATAACGTGAAGGGATATACCGTTTCAGTTTTCTCTAACACTTAGTTTAAAGTTTTATGAACTAAATAACAAAACCTTTTTTTTTGTTTTTTGCCTCTGTAAAACATTGACCTCCCCCCCTTTATGCTATTATAAACAAATGAAAACAAAGTTTTACAGTTAAGCATCTAATTTCGGAGTTAATTATAGAGGAAAAGGAGGGGCTAAGTCCTCATGAACTATGTTATGGTAAATAACCTGAATTAGTTGATGAGATGTCTGTGACGTGATAGCTCAGCACTTGTGTCCTCAATTCGCTAAAACTGGCAATCGGTGTGATAAAAGAACACTACTTCTTGTTACCCGCAAGAGATATTCCAAACAGTCACTTAACTGAATGAAGATTAAATACCTTGAACCTTTCAATACTGCTGGTCTATATTTGTTCCAGCACATGTTTCTGTAGGAGTGCTTTGTAATATTACAAGACGTTTGTGCGTTACGTTCACTTCAGTACGTATATATAGCATGCTTCCATAAATAGTTGTTGGAAATCATGTAATCCAACAAGAATGCCTGATTGTATACTTGTAACTGAACAATGTGCTTTCTACATATAAATCATAAGATACATTATTCTACTAATATACACAACCTGTCCCATATAGATGGTATAGGTATTGTATCACTGTACTAATATACACGACCTGTCCCATATACATGGTATAGGTATTGTATCACTGTAGTAATATACACGACCTGTCCCATATACATGGTATAGGGATTGCATCACTGTACTAATATACACAACCTGTCCCATATACATGGTATAGGGATTGCATCACTGTATACAGTGATACAATACCTATACCATGTATATGGGACATGTCGTGTATTATTAGCTAATATACACACCTGTCCCATATACATGGTATAGGTATTGTATCACT